TTGCTAGAGGCACAGCGGGTTACACATTGGGCTGCTAACCTCAAGGCCAGCAGTTCGAAACCACCAGCTGCTCTGCTCTGCGGGAGAAAGGAGGCTTTCTACTCCTACAAACACTTACAGCCCTGGAAAGTCACAGGGGCACTTTTACCCCGGCTTATAGGGTTGCTATGAGTCGGAACAGACTCGATGGCAGTGAATTTGGTTTTGCTTATTTATTTGGGGGGTAAAATAACTATCTTATTGTTATTAAAAAAAAAGCAACGTTGCACTATGATTGTGGTTGGAATTTTCCCAAGGGTTTACTTACTAGATACATTATTCCTCCTTTGTAAATTGTTTATGCATGTTCTTTACTCATTTATTACTGACAACTTTCCTCATCAATTTATGTGAGTTAGCTGTATAAAGTAGCTGATACTAACTCCATTGGCTGCAGTATTATGTCTACTAAAAATGCTTTGTCATTTTCCATTTCTTTTATATTCCACATTTTTAAAACTGCCAATACAATGCACTAAATGTGCCACACTACACATCAACACTGGATGCAGAGACTGCTGAAAAGCTATTGTACTTTCAGCAGAGTAGAGACTTAAGACATGAATTAATTTTCTAACTAAAGAAGAGATTCACTGGCTTGATGTACCAACATCATCCTTTCCTTACTGCTAATTCCAGGACTTGCTTCTCTTTGTAAAAAATTTAAGCACTCTGAATGTTAAATTATGTTAATGAACTTGCTTTAATTGCCACATCTAGTACAAACACATAACTTGCTGTATTTTGTGAAGAAAAATTAAACAAACTACGTGGAAACATAAGCATTACAGACTCCAGAAGAGAGCAAGAGAAAGGGTTTAAAATAGCAGGCATTTAGAAATGTTATAAGAATTTTATGGCTGTAAGAGTATTTAAATATTATAAAAAGTTCCTAGAAGTGGGGGAAAGGCTACTTTTTCTCTGGAGAGCTTTAGGTCTATTATCTTTAGGAAAGCTTGGTTCTAATCTTGTCAG